TGGCCGCGTTCCGATTGTCGTTGAAGTGTAGGTTGAAGTCCGGCATGCCCCTCTACAGGAGGAACGTTCCAAATTGGCCAAAATTGTATGGGGACGATTTTTCGATTAACCGAGTGCGGGCGATGATAAAGGTCCCCCCCTTCACTCCCTCTATCTTTATGCTCCCCGTTCAACAGGATTTAATTGTGGAGAGAGGCGCGGAGGCCGAACTTCCCAATCCATCGGGTACGTTGCAAGTCGAAGTTGCTATCATCTCATGTTGACTAGCAACAGCATCAAAACGCTGAGCGTGGCCATGGTGGTCTCACCATATCAGCTTTCGCAATCACGTGCGTGTGGCAGGGCTGTGGGCCCTGCAAGGACGGCTCCAAAGGGTGCCGCGCCTGCATGGGGGAGCGATTCGAAGTCCAGCGCAAGAGAGGTTTCTCGGCCAGAACGGCCTAGTGCCTCTTTTGCGCTGGCAAGTTGTAGCCACGAGCATCGAGATCTCTCGAGTCAGTCTTGTTCCGAGCGCCTGCTGGCAAGTTGTAGCCACGAGCATCGAGATTTCTCGAGTCAGTCTTGTGCCGAGCGCCCAGGATCACCATCATCGTCATCATCATCATCATCATCATCATCATCATCGTCATCGTCATCATCATCATCATCATCATCATCATCATCATCATAATCATCATCACCATCATCATCAGCATCATCATCATCATCATCGTCATCATCGCAACTTCACCTTCCCCGGGAAAATCGTTGATTATCCCGGCCAGACCCCCGAAGTATTATCTCCCGGGTATTGTTATCGCCCGCGCAGGGTTATTATCGTCTATGTTTAAATATGTTTGGCCATTTTTGTTTTCGCCCAATGTCCGCATGTAAGGGGACATGCCCGATCTAACTGTAGGTGTATTTTTGATTGCATCCCGATACAGCCCCGGCTCCCCCTCTGAAGTGGCGCGGCCGGATCTGCGCCGCCTGTGGCCCCTTCTGGCCGCCCCTCGACCGCTGATCTGTGCACCTTCCATAACATACACTGGAGGCCCATGCCAAGAAACAACCTGCCTGCCTCCAGGGTGCCCTGGGCCCCTTGGGTTTCGATGGTTCTTTTGTGGAAAGCGCGACGTGCCCACACCACAAATCCATGGACGTCCTGGAGTCTCAGGGTTGGGTTTCTTGTGGCAGGTTTCATGTGGACTTCTGAGGCGGGGATCTATCCCTAACCACCGCCTGTGGAATCGATCTTCGCGGACTTCCACGGGCGGGGGATAGGGATATAGATATATTCGAAAGAGCGTGTTCTACCGCTGCTGGCGGAAAGCCGGGGGGGTCACTACCGGTTCGACCCCCCCCCTGCCTCCCCCTCGGGAAAACCGAGGGGGGTCACTACCAGTTCCAACCCCTCCCCCCCCCCCAGTCCATCATGAAAAGGGGGGGGGGTCACTACTGGTTCGAACTCCCCCCAGGCCTCCCCCCCTCCCCTCCGGAAAACCGGGGGGGGTCACTACTGGTTCGAACTCCCCCCAGGCCTCCCCCCCTCCCCTCCGGAAAACCGGGTGGAGGTCACTACCGGTTCGAACCCCAACCCCCCCCTTTGAAAACCGAGGGGGTGTCACTACCGGTTCGAACCCCCCCCCCCCTTTTCGCCGCCGGGCCGGGGAGAGTGGGGACATTGACACATTGCTGGGGGCACTGGTGGGGACAGCGGGGCAATGGTGGGAACAGTGGGACAGTGGGACAGTGGGACAGTGGTGGGGACGGTGGTGGACAATGGTGGGAACAGTGGGAACAGTGGGACAGTGGTGGGGACGGTGGTGGTGGGGACAGTGGTGTGGGGACAGTTGGAATGTGGCGGAAACAGTGGACAAGTGGAGGGTACAGGGGTGGTGGGGACAGTGGTGAGGGCGGTGGCGAGGACCGCGGTGGGACAATAGGACAGAGGTACAGTGGGGACAGTGGTGGGGACAGTGGGGACAGTGGTGGGAACAGTGGGACAGCTCAGTGGGACAGCGGAGGAGACAGTGGGACAGTGGGGACAGCCGGGCAGTGGTTGGGGCCGTGGAGGAGGTGGGGGAGAGTGGAACCGTGGTGGGAACAGTGGTGGGGACAGTGGGGACAGTGCGACAGTGGTGGGGGCACTGGCGGGGACAGTAGGGACAGTGGTGGAACCAGTGGGGACAGTGGTGGTGAGGACAGTGGTGCTGGGGACAGCAATGGGGGATGTGGTGCGGACGGTGGTAGGGACCGGGAGTCGTTTGCTGGCGGTGAGCGTGGGGGGGGGGAGGGGTTGGAGCCAGTAGTGACCCCCCTCGGTTTTCGAGGGGGGAGGGGGGGGTTCGAATCGGTAGTGACCCCCCCCGGGTTTCGAGGGGGGGGGGCGGTCGAACCGAACAGGAGGCGAGGGGGGGGAGGGGGGGGGGCGGTAGTGACCCCCCCCTTTTTGATGGTGGGGGGGGGGGGGGGGAACCGGTAGTGACCCCCCCCTTTTCGGGGAAGGGGGGGATTCGAACCGATAGTGATCCCCCCCAGTTTCCCAGATGGGAGGAAGGGGGGGGCGATCTAACCAGTAGTGACCCCCTCCCAGTTTTCCGGAGGTGAGGGGGGGGGGTTCGAACTGGTAGTGGCCCCCCTTGGTTTTCCGGAGGGGGGGGGGGGTAGGGGAGGGGGGGGGGCCGGGGGAAGGGGGGGGGGGGATTTTCGGAGGGGGGGGGACCCCCGGGTTCCCGAGGAAGAGGGGGAGGGAATTTTCCATATTACAGCGGCGGCGGATCACGCTCTCTCATATATTCGGACCCCCTGGGGGCAAAGTCTTTCCATTTCCACCGCCCGCTGGGGCACCAGGACGTTGGTCCCCAGGCGGTGGATGTGGATAAATCCCCGCCTCGCAGAACTGGCCTCCATTGTCAATCAATGCAGGGGATGTTCTTGCCCTGGCCTCCGGGCGCTCGTTGGTGGCAAGAGATGTGTTTCAGAGGCGGGCCAGTTGAGGCGTTGGCGGCCCTCACTGGTGTTTGTTGTGGTGTTTCTCTCTATGCTTCTTGGTTTGTTCCCTTTGTTTGTGTTGTGTTGTGTTGTGTTGTGTTGTGTTGTGTTGTGTTGTGTTGTGTTGTGTTGTGTGTTGTGTGTTGTGTGTTGTGTGTGTGTTGTGTTGTGTTGTGTTGTGTTGTGTGTGTCTGTGTCTGTGTCTGTGTCTGTGCCTGTGTCTGTGAGTGTGAGTGTGTGTGTGTATGTGTGTGTGTGCGTGTGTGCGTGCGTGCGTGCGTGCGTGCGTGCGTGCGTGCGTGTGTGTGTGTGTGTGTGTGTGTGCGTTTTTGTTGGTGTGTGTGTTTTGTGTGTTTTGTGTGTATGTGGGTATCTTCGTCTCTCTATCTCTCTCTCTCTCTTCTTCGGGCGGCGGCAGTTCGGCCCTCGCTGGTGCCGTTCTTTTCTCTTGGCCCCGGGCTCCTCGGGACTCGGGAGGCTCCCTGTCGTGGACAGCAGCCGCTGGAGCCGCTCCGAGACCAAAAAACTCGGGCCGCGCGCGCAGGGGGGGGGGGGTGATGGGGGAGGGGACGAGGCTTCCCAGAAGCACCCCCTGCTTCTCAGACGGCGCGGGCCTCCTCCACAGGTGCGAGGCCCGCGCCTTCTATCAGGCGATCGCAGACATGGATGAAGGGGGCGTGGATCAGCGACGGGGCCCGTTTCCAGGGGAACTCGCGGATGTCCGCCGCCGAACGAGGCGGCGCCGGCCGCATTTTGGGGAGGGCACCTCGCCCGATCAATGGATTTGGCGACCGGCCGCGCCAAATCCATGGATCGCCAACCCATGTTTGCTGCGCGCCCCCGATCCTCCACAGAGGTAAGGCCCGCAGCTTCCGAGGAGCAGCCTCCGTCTACGAAGCCTTCCTCCCCCTCCTGCCCCTGCCCCCCTCTGCGCGCCGCCAAAGATCTGGCCATGACGGACCCCATGGTGGGGCCCAGGAGCTGAGACGGAGCGGACTCCGGTCGGGCGGGAGCCGCCAGGGTCGCAGTTGGGCCTCCTCCGAAGATTCACCCTCGCGGGATCTTTCCTTGGGTGGTCGCCTGGTGGGCCTGTTTTCCACCACCATGAGCTGGGGGGGGGGGAGGAGGTGGAGGAGGAGGAGGAGGAGGAGGAGGAGGAGGAGGAGGAGGAGGAGGAGGAGGACCCCCTCCTCCCTCAACCTTGTGGTGTGGTGGTGGTGGTGGTGGTGGAAAACGGGCCCATCGTCGCCTGCTCCTGTCGCCAGGTGCAGTCCGTGCGTGCCCCGTCAAGGACGGCTCCCATCCCCAGACATCCCCAGGTATGATGCCTCACCTCCGAGGCCCCGATCCCGATCCCCCTCCTCTGGCGCAGCTCCTCGCCTTTCTGTAGAGATCCGCTTGCAATGGTCCCTGGGCCCAGTGCCCGAGGCCCTGCCTGGGGGAGGCCGAGATCGAGGGGGGGGGCCGTCATTGAAACGATCGCACTCCAAGGGATCTAACGTGTCATCGTTTTCGTTTTCACTGTTTCGCCGATCGGCGCGGGCCCTCGCCCCCCCCCCTCCCCCTCCCTTGGAGTAGATCTTGGGGTTTTTTGTGGGCCTGTTTCGAGCAGGGGGAGTCTCCCCCGCAGGACGCGCCGCTGCAAACAGACGCCACTAAGCAGAGGTCCGGAGCCAGGTCGAAACGCCGAGAAAAAACGAAAAATTACATAAACATAAAAACTCGCGCGCGGATTTCTCGGATCCGCGCCGGACCCCCCTCCCTGGCGCGCGGAGCGCGCCAGGGGCGGTGCCGATCCGAGAAACCCGCGCGGACCTCCGAGTTTTCATGCTCATGCAATTTTTTATTGTTCCCCTATAACTTCCCATCCGCTCCCCTCGGGCCGAACGACAGGGCGGGATGGGGAAAGGGGGAGGTACGACATCTGCTGCATGCAGCTGACGTCCCCCCTCCGTGCCCACCCCTTCGTTCCCCCCCAGCCCTCTGCTATCCCCCCCCCCTTGTTCCCCCCTGCCCCCCTCCCGCGCAGCTTGAGCCCCGCCGCCCAGCCCGTCCGGGCCGCCCGCCCCCCGGATGATGGCGCAGATGAGCAACCTCTGCTGCCCCGGGCGCCCGCACGAGGAGGCGCCGCGCGGGCCGCCAGCCCCCGGCGGCGCGAGCGCGGCGCTCCTCGAGCGGCTGGTGCAGGCGCCGGGGATCAGACGGGTTTTTTGGATTCGGGGACCCCCAGGGGCGGCCCCGCGCGCGCGAACTAGAACACTATTGGTCACCGGAGGTCTTAGCAGCACGCCTCAGGCCCGTTGGGCCGGCGGATTTTTCGTCCAACATCCGCTTGTATGGGAGGAAATGCCCGACCTAAACTTAGCACCGGTCTCACACAGCAGCGGGTGCACTCCCTGGATAAACTTAAGTCGGGCCTTTCCCTCTACAGGGGGGAGTGTGCTGAAATAGTAACAGAACTGTGTTGGGACGATTGTTTGACTGTTTTTTTTATGAATATTGTTTGGAGTATGTTGATGGTATTTTGTATTTTTCGTCCAGAGACCCCCTGTAGGGGGACATGCCCGACCTAGACCTACGCGCTGTTTTGTTGGACTTCGGCTGTGCTTTGCTTTTCGTTTTGGCGGGGAAGCACAGGAAAGCATGCGTGGAGCAAAACGAGCCACATAACGAAACCACGACGAACAACAACGTTCGGGTCCGGCCCTTGTTCAGGCGCTGGAGCAGAAGCGCGGGACCGCGGGGGCCGCTGAGATCCAGCAGTTCTTGGACCAGAACAGGGCCGAGGTCGCGAAGGCGCTGAGCAGGTTCGCTCTGATGCACCTCCATGGGAGGTCCAATTCTGACTCTGCGCCCTGGCCTGAAGTCCGGCTGACCCCGGCTCGCTCCCGCTTCATCCCGGTGATAATCCCGCTCGATCTGGCAGAATCCCGCTTAATCCGCAGCCTAATCCGGCGTAGTAGCCCCCCAGTGGGGCTCAATCCTCAGTCTTTCCGACGAAGACCTCCCAGCAGTTGCCTCCGAAGGTTCGGCCCCGCGGGAGAGCTCGAGAGCGGCGAGCCGCTGCCAGCGAGCTGCTTCAACGACTTCTACAAGTGGACGATGCTCCCCGTGGTACGTGCCGCCGAGCGCGCCTCCGGAGGCGTGCGGTGCACGTTCAGCGTGAACATCCGCGACAAGGGATGCCGGGGGCGGCAAAGAGGGGGTTGATGACTAGATGGTATTTTGTATTGTTCGTCCAAACTCCGCCTGTAGGGGGACATGCCCGACCTAAGTCTAGTGTCTGGGGGCCCTTTGGGGACCTGGTGGCGGCCTCGGGGGCCATCTTCCGACGGAGGGCTCGGCATGTCGGGTTGTGTTCCCGCTCTTTTGGGACCCTCGTGGGCGGTTCGGGGGCGTCAAAGAGGGGGTGGATGACTACAGGGGGGGGGGTATCATGGCGTGGGCCATGATATTTCCTATGATTTCATGGCGCCTCTTCTTGTTTCAACACGTCCCCGCCCCACCCCCCCTGGGCCGCGCACATGCTGCCGGCCATGATTCAGGAGGGAAAAAACACAGACACAAGTAATCGTCGATTCTCCAGAACATATGGGAACGTATGGGAAGTGGGGGGCAAGACAAAAATCAGAAAATATTGGAAAATATGGGGAGTCCTGCTATTTGTGTGTATTTGTTTGTGTGTCCAAGGGCCCCTTCAATGACTTGCGCCCCGCCCCCCTCTTGGCCGCCCCCCTCTTTCTGGCCGCCCCCGCAGGATACCGACAGCAGCTCTACGACTCGGCCGTCGGCGCCTCGAGCCCGGACCTCTTCGAGGACCCGAGCAGTGGCGAAGCTCGGGCCGGGCGAAAGGGGGGGATTGGGAAGGTGGGTTTTATCTGGCCCAACTTGGCTTATAAGTGGGTTACAAAGGCCCCGAATGGCTTTGGGGGATAGATAACTCAGCTAAGGTGGCGGAGCCCACTTAGCCCAGATAGTTAAACCCTCTAAGCTATTTAAGGCACTCGTAACCTACTTAATAAGCCAGGTTGGGACATATATATATATATATATATATATATATATATATATATATTCCTCTTTCTATATTTTTACAAGCCCGGGCGGCCGCAAAACCCCGCGCCCCCCCCCCCCCCAAACCGGACTCCTGGGATCCTGGGGCTTTGGGACCCTCCGGGCGCCCATTGAAGCGGTCCCGAGTGCCTCAAGAGCGCTCCAAGACAGGCACAAAGCGCTCCAAGACGCCAAAGATAGCCCCAAGACAGCCTCAGGAGCCCCCAAGACGCCCCAAGCGGCCCCAAAGAAGCCTCCCAAGACGGCCCCGGGAGGCCGAAATGGTCAATTTTCCAATGTGTTTTTCGATGTTTTCTGCTTTCTCGCCATTTTAGCTTTCCGACGCTCCAAGACAGAACTAGAGGCCCTCAAGAGCGCCCCAAGATGGCCCGGGGGGCCCCCAAAACGGCCCCAACACGGCCCCAAGACGGCTCTGGAGCGCCCCGAAACAGCCCAAGAGGCGCCCAAGAAGGCCCAAGAGGGCCCCGAGAAAGCTTCAAACGAGCCCCCACAGGGCGTTCAAAAGTACAAACATCTAACTTTCCGCCCCAAGTGGGCCCCAGGAGGCCCCAGGAGGGCCCCAAGAGGCCCCAAGAGGCTTCCAAAGGCCCCGAGGACTCCCAAAAAGAACCCACGAGGCCCCAAAATGGCTCTCCAAAAGGCAGCCAAAACGGCCCCCCAAGAGGCTTCAAAACTGCTGAATCGCCCCACTTGACCGCCACCTCCGGAACGGCTTCGCTGCGCTGCTCCGTTGTTTGCCAGACAGTGGCATCCCACGCAAAACACCATGGCAGTCCTTGGAGCCGCAGCCCCCTGGTCTGTTTCCATATGTGATCGCAGGGCATCTCCGTTTGTCTCACCCCCATGCGCAAGTCGAGACAGCACGCCGCCCCAATGCGTCCCTTACCTTACCTTACCTCATGATATTCCTCCCTTCGCCGCGCCTCCCTAAATCGTCCTCCACTTCTTTCCCGCCCTTTCTGTCCGACGTTTTGTCTTTCCGGAGCCTCCACGGCCGCTCTCATCGCCGCTGATCGGTCCGCTGGGACATTCTCATGGAGTCCCAGTGGCGCGCGGACCAGCAGAGCGAGGGTGCGAGCAAGTAAGGTGCAGGTCCGGGAACTGGGCGCGAACCGGCCGCGGTTCAAAGACCGTGGAGGGCCGCGCTAGACGCCAACGCGCGCAAGGGTTGAAGGACCAAGGTGCATGGCGCGAAGCGCCAATGCAGTCTTGTATATATATATATAACCCACCTTGGCATCCATTTGCAACCCCCCTATTTATCCACTGAGAAACCCCCACGGTCATCCCAGAGGGACGGGGGGGGGTCACGAAATCTGCTGCATGCAGCTGGTTTCGGCCCCACCGAGGGGCCCATTCCTCGATGCGTAGCCGTCTCCGGCGCCGGGAGGCGCCGGGGAAAGCAGCTGCGTCAGCTGATTCTCACCCCCCCCCTCTGCTGTCGCCCGGCCCGAGAAGCGCCCTGGCCTTCCTGGCAGGCCCACCAAGAACTGTTCTAAGAACTTTCTGTGGTCTGCGCGACCTGCTCTCAGAACAAGAACATTCCTGGCTGGCACGGTCTTGTTTGAACACATCGGGCTTCTGCTCGAGGAACATGTTGCACCTAGAACACCTTCGGGGCCCGAAAAACACGGCGCGGTGGGCCCATGGGGATGCCGGGGCGGTCGGACCCTGTTCCATATAGAGGACGTCAAGCGCCGGCTGCGCGGCCTGACCGAGCGGGTCTTCGACAGGTCGGGCCGGGCGAAAGGGGGGGATTGGGAAAGGGGGGGTTACGAAATTTGCTGCATGCAGCTGGTTCTGGCCTCACGGAGGGGGCCACTCCTCGATGCATGGCCGCCTCCCGGCGCCGGGAGAGGCGACGGGAAAATCAGCCATAGGTGAGCGGATTCTCAAACCCCCCCCTTTGCTATCCCCCCCTTTCGCCCGACCCGAATTAGGGCCCTCTTCGAGCAGTGCGCGAGGGACTGCCAGCTCCCGCACTGGGGCGCGGACGCCCTCGACGCGGTCTGCGGCCCCGCCCGCGCCCCGCGCGCGCTCGTGCAGGAGTTCCGGGCGGACGCGGGCTGCCGCGCGCCAGCCGCCCCGGAGGCCCAGGATCAGGAGGGAGAGAAACACACAGACACAATGCATCGTCGATTCCCCTAAGATCGGGGGCGGACAAGAGGGGGGTGATGACTAGGGGGGGGTGGATATCATGGCGGGGGCCATGATATTTCCCCAGATCTCGTGGCGCCTTTTCTTACTTCATTACATTCCTGGCCCCCCCGCTGGGCCGCGCACATGCCGCCGGTCATGATTTGCACCCCCCCCTCTTGGACACCCCCCTCTTGGCCGCTCCCGATAAGAAATATGGGAAAACATGGGAAGTGGGGGGGAAGACACGAGCCCAGACAATATTGGGAAAAAATGGGAGATCTGGTTCTTTGTGTGTCTTTAACTTGTGTGTCCCAGGGCCCCTTCACAGGACTCCGTCCTGGTCCAGGTCTTCGTGGCGCGGGACGAGAAGCTGGAGCAGGACCGGGTCTACATCGAGGCCACTGGCCCGTGGCACAGGGTCACCTGGCTCGAGACCTCCATGATGCAGGTCGTCTACGAGTGCCTGCTCCGAGACCGCATGCGGCAGCGATACGGTGTCTCCAGGTCGCCCTCGGGCGCATGGGACGACGGCGCTTGGTTCGCAGACTGGCTGGCCGAGGCCATGTGCCGCTGCGCGCGGAGCGTCCAGGCCGCCCAGGACTACCAGCCTGAAACAGATCCCCATTCCTGGGACTGGCACCACCTCATCCCGATGCCGATCTGAATGGTCCCCTCAGCTTCTGAGGACGCACCCCTGAGATTGTCACTGCTCATTTGCTGGTCAACCTTAGTTGGCTACGCGTAAGAGTGACCCTTCGCCAGAGTGACCTTTGGTGCGCGCACAGGGGTCCCCGCAGCACTGGCTGCCGTGCTCGGTGTTGCCCCTCCCGCGATCCCCTCAGGCCGCGTACAAAAGGTCGCTCTTGTCCAGGTTCACTCTTGCCTGTAGTCGACTCAAGGATAAGGTTAAGTCGGGCACGCCCCTCCACAGAAGGAATATTCAAACATAGTCTCTGACTATGTTTGACCATTCGCGGGCATTTTCGGACTGTGTTTTATTTTTCGTCCACGCTCCGCACATGCCCGACCTCCGGATAGGGATTGTTTCGAGGCTGGTTGTAGGAGTCTGGGATGAGGGGCGCGCTCTTTACGGGCCGGCGCACGGGCGGGCTGTCGCTGATGGTCCTGCAGGGCCTCTACGTGCAGCAGGCCTTCCGCGCCCCAGACGGGGCCTCCATTCGAAGAGGGAAAAGCACCACAAGCATGAACTTTTGGCGCTCCGCGCGGATTTCTTGGATCCGCGCTGGGGCCCCCCCGTCGGCGCCTCCGGCGCCGCCCCAAGGCGCGCTCCGCGCGCCAGGGAGGGGGCGTCCAGCGCGGATCCCAGAGATCCGCGCGGAGCGCCAAAAGTTCATGCTTGTGGCGTTTTTTCTTCCTCTATCCATGCTCCTCGGGTCGTCCTCCGTGACATCCCGCTACCTCAGCCTCGCCGCGGGCGTCGACCCCGCGCGCGTGCCGGCGTGCGCGGGGACACACGCGCACGAGCTGCAGATGACGATGGCAGCGATCCTCGGCGACCTGGACGACCAGGAGACCGCTTTTCCGAGGAGGGGAAGGCCTCCTACAACCCTCGTCAAAATTAACCTCAAAAATGTCTGACGTGTTTGAACTGCTTGTCGGAAGATCTGGGGACGAGTATCGATGAGTGCGGGGTACTTGCATGCGCCGCCCCTCCAATGTCGGACGACGTCAAACTTTCGAGTCAACTTCGGTCAGACTATCTTTGCCCTCGCCCCGACATTGAAGGGGCGGCGTGTCGACATTGAGGGGCGCGCCGAAATCGAAATGACGTGCTAGCAACTTTTGAGGTTAATTTTGACGAGGGTCGTAGATTCGGAGGTGAATAGACCTCCTACCCTGACACGTCGATTATAGCGAGTTTGCCGTGTTCGCTTCGCGAGAGGGCGTCGTGGCCGTCATTTTCGCGGTTTCAGGTGCGTCGGTTTCGCTCCTAGGCCGTTTTCCATAAAGGGTGGTTTACTAAAGGGAGGTTTGTCCACCGCCGATAGATTGGGTCCGAGCAGATGGGGTCGGAGGGTCGCGCAGCATCGCCGATGCATCGCCGATGCGGCTCGATGTGGGGCCCGATTTTCTCCACGATGGCGTCGGCGATGCATCGCCGACGTCGCCGATGCATCACCGATGCATCGCCGATGCATTGGCGATGCATCGGCGACGCAATCGTTGGCGATGATCCGATTGGCGATGCATTGGCGCGATCCTCCGACCCTATCTACTCGAACCCCAACTAGGAGGCCTCTAGAAAGGTACCCATACCGCTACCCTTCCCTCGTTTACCCCTTTCTGAGCCCTCTGGTATGCCCCCGTCGCCACCGCTGGATTCGCCTCGATATCTTGGGCCTGGGCAGAACGCACCCCAGGAGAGATCCGAGGAGAAGCGGTATGGGTGTATTTTTCGGGTGTTTCTAGAAGTGCCCCTGGCCCAAGGTACCCCCAGCTTTTCCCTCCATTTTGGGGCCCCTGGGGCCCTCTTGGCCTCGTGAGGGGTGCTCTGGAGGCCGTCTGGGCCACCCCGAGGATCCTGGGGGCACCTTGGGCCAGGGGTACTTCTGGCAACACCCGAATTTTGGTTTCCTCAGTTTACCCATTGGCGATCGTGTGTGTGCGTGTGTGACTCGGGGGAGGCAGGCGGATCGGCGGGGCCAGTCACGGCAGTTATCGGGGGCGGCAAAGAGCGGGGTGATGACTAGGGGGGGGTGGATATCACGGCGGGGGCCTTGATATCTCCCCAGATTTCATGGCGCCTCTTCTTGTTTCATTACGTCCCTGGCCCCCCGCTGGGCCGCGCACATGCCGCCGGTCATGATTTGCACCCCCCCCTCTTGGACACCCCCCTCTTGGCCGCTCCCGAAGTTATCGTGAATAGTAAGAGAGCGGGCTCCAGTGCGGGATGCCCCTGTCGCACGTCGTGTCCCACGTGCTCTACTTCTACAGGAGCAAGCCGCAGGGCGACGTCAGGGACGGGGCGCGGAAGAACCTGATGCCCATGCTCTCCGACACGATAGGCAGCCGGGCCTTCATGCGGACGGCCTCGAGGCTCAGAGTTCCCTTTGGGGCGCACAAGGGCGAGCCCGTGCTCTCGGTCATCGGCGCCGCGCGCCAGGACTCTGGAACTCTCCAGGGGTTCAGCGACATCATGGGCGAGTTCGGGTTCCAGGGCGCCCTCATGGCCTCGGAGATCGAGACGAGCTCGGACCTGGCCGAGGCCTCCCGGGTCGGCTACAAGCTGTTCGGCGCCGGGGGCTTCATGGGCGACTCGGAGAAGGCCTGGGACGGCACGAAGACGAACATCAGCATGGCCGTGAAGGTGCTGCGCGTGTACGTCGGCGGCTCGGCCGTGGCCAGCGCCTTCCCGCCCGTGAAGACGGGTGAGGTCGCCGCCGATGGCAAGATCAAGGAGGACAAGTTCGACATCGATGGGACCCTGCCCCGGGAGAGGTTCAAGAGTGGAAAAAGCACACAAAAACAATTCATCGTCGGTTCCCAGAAAATCCAGAACATATGGACCCATGTGGGGCATCCTGGGATTTGTGTCTATTTTGTGTGTTTGTGGGCCCCTTCAGAGGTTTGACCACGCGCGCCATCGGGCCCAGGTGCTCTGTCAGGCCGCGCCCAGGGTGTCGGACCAGGAGCTCCAGGGCCTCTTCGAGGGAGCGCTCCGGAGGTTCCTCCCCGACGAGTTCCTCGCCTGAGCCGCCCAGCCTCGGGATCCCGCAAAGGAGGTGTGTGCCCCCCCGTGTGTGTGTATGTGTGTGTGTGTGAGTGTGAGTGTGAGTGTGAGTGTGAGTGTGAGTGTGAGTGTGTGTGTGTGTGTGTGAGTGTGAGTGTGTGTGTGTGTGTGTGAGTTCGATCGGCTTTTGCACCGAATCGCCCACAACAGATGCCCCCCAGCCGCCGGCAGCTCCCGATAGTTGCCGAGAGGTGGGGCATGCGGGGGGCATCTGTTTGCGGCAGTTCGGTGCACCAACGGATCGAATTCATGCCGCCCCTCAGGTCCCCCCCCCCTTTGGTGGATCCTGACCAGACCAGAAGTCCGCGAACTGGCCTGCGCCTTGTAAAGCTATGGTGGGGGAGAGGAGGGGGGCGTTGGGAGGTGGACGGCAATCCTTAATGCGAGGAAGTGCGACACGGATGCAGGCGCGCGGATTGGCGACGGGCCCCGTTTTCATTCAGAACGGGCGCCATCCGTCGCAAGATCAGGCGGCAGTGGCCTTATGTTTCAGGGGTATTGCTCCGATCCGTGGATCTGGCGCACGTGCGCCAGTTTCACCGGTTCGTGATTCGCGTGCTTCGTGGGGGAGTGATTGGTGATCGCAGTAATCTCATCATGGGAAGCGCAGGCTGGCCGCGTCGGTCGGACGCGCTCGCAGGGGAGCTGCCGTCTCGGCGGACTCATACCCTGTGGCTGATGCAACGTTGCACGCGCCGGCGAGGAGCAGCCGGGCGGCCAATCAATAGCAGCGGCCTCCTCGCAATCTCTCCCTGCGGCTGAATGTAGAGTGGCCGCTCGAAGGGTGGCCGATGCTGCAGGACGGCTGCCGGGCATGGACGTCTCGGTGCCGCTCTCAGCTGCGGGGCGAGCGCGAGTGCGAGCTGCCCGGAGGTGCCCGGTCGCGAGGGCCACGGGGTGCCACGCGCTCCGCTGCTGGGCGCCCGCACCTCCTCGAGGCCTGCAGCGGAGGCTCACCGCGCTCTCCAGACAGAAAAGGGCGGTGCCCGCCATCCGACGTCGTACAGCGAGCGGCTTGAATAAGGAACACTTGCTTCTCAAAAGGGGCTCGGTCGTTCCCTAGGTTTGAATGCGCTACTTGTCGTTGCCTATGCGTTAGTCATTATCAATCGTTCCTTGTGCGTTATTCCCTGGAGAAAATATGGGGCTTCGTTCCTGATTTATCGTTCCTTAGGTTAGCCGGTTAGCCCGATGGCTGTAATTCGTTTCAAAACTTGGCTCGCCAGAGGTCGGGGCCCCTTCCCGCGGGCCTGGGGGCCTGAGTTTTCTTGTTGGCAGTCCCGGGGCCAAGAGAGGGCCTCCGGAGGCCGGAAAGGGGCGCAGCACTCTAGCGTCGTAATGATCTCACGACGCGCGGTTGCCTGGGTCGTCCCCCCCTCCCGCGTTCCCCTCCTGCTCTTCGGATGTCCTGCCGGGAGAGGTTTTGCCGCGCCCGCTGCCTGGCGTCGGGGAGGGGTCGCGCGGGGTGTCTTCGGTGTGGGTCCTGGCGAGTCCTGGGGGATTATTGGGGAGGACTCTTGGCCGGGGAGTCGAGGGGTCGCTGTAGCCGCTTTGACTCTTGAGGTCTGCTGCTTCGGCTGACGGTCGAACCGTGGACGTGTCACACCTCTGCGGTGCACCAGTGGGTGCAGATCTCTTGAGCGAAGGGCGACGGCGCACACTGGAATACGTTGTCTGGGAAGCAGTGCGTCAGCAGTGCTGGAGCAAGCAGGAGTCGAGAAAGGGGGTTGGGTCCTGGCAGGTCCTGAGGTGGTCTAGAAGTTCCCGGGGCGGGTCCTAAATGGTGGGATCCTGTGGGAGGGCGAGCCGTGTGTCGTGCCGTGCCGTGCCCGTTTGACGCGCAGTGCCGCGTCGTGCCGCGTCGGCTTGGCGGTGCCGTGCCGTGCCGTGCCGTGACGTGACGTGACGTGACGTGCCGTGCCGCCCGTGCCGCTTTGACGCGTCACCCGTTCGGCACGGCTGACCGGTCGCATGGCATAGCACGGCGCCCAGCGCCCCATCGGCGGCGAGGGAAGGGGGGAAGCGAGGAGGAGAAGGCCTTCCCAGAAGGTTCGGAAGTCCCCCCGGCCTTCTGAGAACCGTCCCAGGCCTTCCCCGAAGACAGGGGCAATGTCTCAGAAGGCGCGAGGGCGTCTGAGAAGCCCCGCCGCCTTCCGAGAAGGCCTTCTCCTCCCCACCTGTCCCCCCCGCCGCCGATCCCAGGAGCTGAGGCGCGGGGGCCCCAGGAACGGCGCGGAGACTCTGCGCCACGGCCGCCGGGAACCGAAGAGGCAGCGTTGCCTTTCCTGTCAGCGCGCCGGGTCGGGGAAGGCAGCCGTGCGGCGTGCCCCGGCTGCTTTGCGCCGTCTTCCCAGAAGAAGGTCGGTAGCGTTCAACCGACCCCCATCCCCGATCCCCATCCTCTCAGAGACCCCCACCAAACTACCCCCCAGTTGGGGATACGTCCCTCGAAACTCTCAGGGAACGACCTATATCCCGATCTAGGGGGGTATACCGGCCAGTGGGGCCCAGGCCACGCCGCTGGGGATGGGGATCGGTTAAACGATATTATAAGGGAACGAACAATGACATAACCATAACAACTCGGAGGTCCGCGCGGATTTCTCGGATCGGCGCTTGACCCTCATTCCCTGGGGCGCGGAGGTGCTGCCGACCCTAGGAGGGGACATCGGGAGGCCGCGGGAAGGCCGCGAGAGGGAGGCGGTATAAGCGCACGAAGGCAGGCCAACGTTTATACCCCAGAACGGTTTGAAGAGATCCCCGAGGCTGTAGATACGTGAGAATTCTGTGCCACCTCTCGAGCAGTGGCGAAGCGTCTTTGCTTGCCTATAGGCCCACCAACGAATGTTCTACGAAACTTGTGTGGTCTGCACGAAATGCTCTTAGAGCATTTCTGGCTGGGACTGTCTTGCTTTAACACATCGGGCTTATGTTCTAAGAATATTCTTCAGGAGGGAAAAAACACAGACACTATTGATCGTCGACTCCGAAGAAAATATGCAAACATATGGGAAGTGGGGGTGAAGACAACAAATCCAGAACATCTGGACAGGTATGGGGAATCCTGGGATTGTGTGTATTTATGTGTGTGTGTGTCCTTGGGCCCCTTGAACTGTTTTGGGTTCTCAGAACACTTCTGGGCTCTGAGAGCCTGTCGTGGTAGGCCCCCGTCCAGTGTCTGGGGGGCTCCTCGGGGACGTGCGTGCTGCCGAGCGCGCCTCCGGAGGCGCGCGGTGCACGTTCCGCGCGAACACCCGCGACAGGGGATGTCGGAGGCGGCAAGAGGGGGGTTGGTGAGCAGACGGTCTATTTGTAGCTTTCGTCCAAAACCCGCCTGCGGGGGGTCACAGGGCTGGACCTCAGCGGTGTCGTGTTGCGGGAAGGGCGGGCTCGAGACTGAAGCGAGGGAACACGAGCCCAGAACGATTAGGTCCAGCCAAGGGGGGGCCATGCCCGACCCAAGTCCAGTGCCTGGGGGCCTCTCGGGGGCCTGCCTGCGGCCTCCGGGGGCCCTCCTTCCGGCGAAGTGTGTGGCTCGGCACGTCGGGCCGTGCTCTCCCGCGCTCCCGTGGGAGCCTCTCGCGGGCGGTCTTCGCGGGCCTCCGAGGCCCTCGTGGGCGGCTCGTGGGCGCCTCGTGGGCGCTGGGCTGCACCACGCAGCGGTGGCCTGCACCTCCTCCTCCTCCTCCTCCTCCTCCTCCTCCTCCTCCTCCTCCTCCTCCTCCTCTCCTCTCCTCCTCCTCCTCCTCCTCCTCCTCCTCCTCCTCCTCCTCCTCCTCCTCCTCCTCCTCTCTTCTCGGATGCAGCTCCTGGGAGGTCAAATTCTGACCTTCCCCTGGCCCGAAATCTGGCATGATCCGACCTGATCCCGCTCAATCCGGCTTAACCCTGCGCAATCCGGCTCAATCCCGGTCAATCCGCGGCCCAATCCTGCGCAGAAGCCTCCCAGTGGGGCTTAATTCTCCTTCTACTTTCCGACGAAAGCCTCTCAGTAATTGCCTCCTAACCTCTTGGGGGCCCTCTCTGGGCCCCCCCCTGGGCCGCCTGGGGGCGATCTCGGCGGTCTCTGGGGCCGTCCTGGAGCGATGGACGACCGAAAAGGCGAGAACGCAACGAGCAATATCGAACACCCCGCAGGAGTCAGTGATGTTTGCCGCGTGGGGCTCCAGGCGGTCCTCTTGCGGCCCTCTTGGGGCCGTCTTGTAGGCCTCTTGGCCCGTCGTGGAAGGGCGGCGACGGCGACGACGACTACGACGAGGGAGGAGGAGGGGGAGGAAGGAGGGGAACAAGACGGGGGAGGGAGGCCCCCCCCCCTTTACTCGTGAGGCGGAGGGGAGGCACACACACAGATCCAGAGGCCCTCCCCCCCCGGTGGGGAACGGATCATATATATATATATATATGTATAGATTGTATATATACACATATATATATATATATATATATATATATATATGCATATGCACATGTACTTATGTATACAAAAATATGTATATACACATCTATATATACACAAGACTACAGTGGCGCTTTGCGCCATGCACCTTGGTCCTTGAAAATTGGTATGCAGGCGGAATAGCAGGAAGGTCAAGCCGACAATTTAGAGATAACTCCTTGTTGCCTTCCCAGCATCGCCGCTATAATAATGTTATTCGTTTTCCTTCCTCCATGCTTATGTTTCCTGGTTTTCGCCGTACCCTGCGCATTCTCCCCATCCTCCTCAGCTCTTTTTTGCGGAGGCTCCTCCTTGGAGAGCCTCTGGGGTTCTCACAAAAGTTCTTTCAGGCTTTCTTAAGGCTTTCTGGAGGCCTCCTGGGCGTATTCTGGGAGCCTCTGGGGACTCCTCGGGCCACCCTGCCTCCAACCGCGGTCTCCCTGAACGACCGGGTCACGATTTGGAATGCTTCGGAGGGTGTCTTGGGGCCATCTTGGGCCGCCATGGGGCGCTCTGAGGGCCATCTT